TTTTWWMWTTAAAAAGTAAAAACTGCGTTTCGCTATCTTATGACCATACGTTTCTATCGCGTTTACGATAACGACGGTTATAGGCATTATCTAAACTAAATGTAATTCGACGATCATTTTTTTTTACATCGTCGCCGTACATTCCGTTTCAATTTACTGTCGTCAACTCACGTTTCTGGAGGACATTGTCATCGTTATATTTGTTTTTCTTTTTATCCGTCGAATTCGATTCGATCACACGTCAAGTACACGGTTAGTTTATGCCCTGAAAAATGTTAAGATCATAATAAGACCACAGCGGTGTACTTAAAGCAATATCTCAAATGAATCGTTTTAAAATCRATGTTTCTTACGCATGCTGCGAAAAAAAATAAGTTTACATTTTGGTTTTTATTTCACAATTATATCTATTCACTGATTATAAGTGAAATTCTTCCGAAAAAAAACTTCGTGTCAATGAACGCCGCTCACTCGGTCTGTCCTGTCTTTGTTTCTTATTATATATTATACACATTGTTTGGATAAATTCAACATAGTCTATTTGTGAATCTGTTTTTAAGAATAATTTTGATGTTAAAAATATTTATCTAAGTCAAGTAGTTTATTTTTAGTATTTTTTTTAAATTATTGTATTATTTTGGTTAAATCAATTTGGAATGTAATAACTTTTTTAAAAATATGATTTTTGAGAATTCGATAACATGAGTACCTATATTTCWTAATATAATTATTAACAATTTTTGTCATACGTTTAATTAGTATAATTTTTTTTTTTGGTCAGGTCTTTCTATTACACTCTGTATATATATATTACGTGCTGTATTAGCCATGTTTAAATAGCTTTCTTAAATAAAAATAAAAATAACTTTTAAGTATTTATAAACAAAGTTTGGATGATACAATACCTATAGGYACATATACCATATTATTAATAATACTATTGAATAATCGAAATTTATTTGTTATAAATGATTGTATAAACTTATAAAAATCGAGTTCAATTAATATTACTGTTATAATATAGGAATAAATATTCGAACCAACAATATTTGCATAATGCCTATCGATTGTAGTAAATATATGACATATTTATTATTCCAGACAGGATATGATTTTGTTTTTTCCGTCGTCTCACACCACGTTGCCGCTCCTTCTTCAGATGAAATYCACTCTTTTATATTATTGTACATTTTTAAGGAAATTAGGTTTTCAAATAATATGTTGATGACTTGATGTACCTATTCAAATTGAAATACAAACGATAAGTTCAATTTCTGTGTGATGAAACATAAAGTCGGAAAATACTATAGGAACAATTTATACAATAAATATAGGTTTATATGTATATAATTATTATAAATGATGATTAATTTAAAATTATTAGTTATAGTAAAGTTGTTGCCAATTAGTATAATTAGTAATTAACTTTAATTTATTCAAATTTTATAGTTTGTAATGATAATAATAATTGGTAGGTACTTGACTAAATATTACATAATATATTTTAATTTATTCATTACTCCTTAGAACATAATGTTTAGTAACTCGGAAACCATTCGATCGAATTTTGTCAATGCGACAAAATTTTCGAAAAATTAATTTCRTCAACGACAATAAAGGTTCCGGTAGAAAAAAAGAAAAGAAATTTTATCACCACAGGTTACTTCTTAAATGGTAATAAGCTAATAACTAATAAATGCTAATAGCTAAAAAAATATTTCAAAATATGGTGTTTAAGTGAAGGTATTGTTAAAGGTTGTTAGTGGGTGGTAGAGGGGTGAGCACGTTTGACGAATAATTACTCTTTGCATACTATAGCRTGGAGATTTCACACTGAGCACGTACTCGCTCGTCACATTCTATCCATTCTTTAGAAATACGCKTAGTCTGATAGCCATATAGGCGCTGTAACAGTACCTATACCGAGAACGACGGCACAAACGTATAGGTAGGTAAGTAATAAAATGCGAGAACACGAAATATACCCAACAATAATAATAATAATAATAATAATAATAATATTTAGCGTACTGCGTATCAGGCGTGCACACTTCATCATTTAAATATTGCATTGGGCATAATTACAGTAGGTATAACACAGAAGAAAACAATAAAACATATCATTATTATGATATTATTCGTGCTACGTTATAATATAGGTAGGTATCTACACCTCCTAGGCGTAGGAGAAAACTGCTTGAACAAATAGCTATTAACGTCGGCTAATAATCGGTTCATTGTGCGAGTTCAGGTATACCATAATGTCATAATGATAATAATATTATAGCTGCTTCGATCGTCGGTAGCCATGTTATCATTGTATACGATGATGACCTCCATAGGCAGCGCATGTTATTGTTGCTGTCGTTGTCATCGTCGTCGTTGTTGATGTTTACGTTGCTGTTATTGACGTATTAGCTGATATTATCTTCCTCGTTGTATATAGCTTACATTTTAGGGTTCTTAGGTCGTTTCATATCATCATAATTATAAGAGCAAATAATGTGGAAGATTTGCAGTTCAACACACAGAGCTTACAAGAAAAAGTCTTATATACATCAGGGGTTAGGAAATATGTTTGATTTCTTTAGAATGTCTTGGAATAAATTGTAAGTAACGAGAAAAATATTAGGTATCTGTGATTTTAATTTTTTACTA